TATACCTTTGTATATTTGTGTTTTGACCTACCAATCCACCCATATACCAATCCTTGTTTCCATCCTTATATTATATTGATTAATTTATCTTTGAGATTTCCGCATTGTATTGTTTTGATTATTGCTTTAAATATTTTGTGCATACATTTTAACTTATAATTTAAAAAAAAATTATTCTAAAATATAAATGTAAATATAAATAAAAAATAAATATAAATCACAATTATTTAAATTACTTATTTTTACATTTGAAAGATCCAATTAAAAAGAAATTGTTATATTTTTAAGGTTATCTTTGCATGATGAAACAGTGTAGCCATATAACTAGCACTGAAACTAAAATTTTATGACATGAAATATAAAACTGACTATTTATATATTTTTTGCATCTTTATTATATTTTCTTTTCAAAATTATACTAATTAATCCAAGTATAGATTTGATGCAACACAATAAAAATCACATATAAATTAAATAAATTAGAAGTGTTTAAAACATTTCGCTCCTAGACATTTAATTAGTCTCAAGTAATTACCTGCTGTAACACAAATTGTTATAAGACAAACAGCTATATATACTTTTTTATTCTTAATATCGGTAAGATTTTGATCTGGTTAAAAATAAAAACATAATAGAGATTTAACATTAACATAAGCTCAAGCCCATAGATTACTCTCTGTGACTTTGAGCACGACTTTGAATGTGAATAAGTGTCTTGATTAAAGGTGAATCTAGGATTTAAATGGATGTCATTGTATGGTAATTGAAATCGTGGCTGGTTGTCTGTTTTAATAATTTAACGTCTTAGAAATGAAATAGCTGTTATTATTATAAAACTAAACATTTAAAAAAACAAATCATACTAACTTTCATTAAGAAAATTAGGTTTAGTGTGCAATTTAATGATCGTCTTTGTATCCCCTACAGGAAACGCTGTTGGTTAATTTGCCTTAGTATTAAGTCTTAAGTTACTCGAAGACAGCGTGGTGCATTCAGCGATTTCTGTCCATATTACTCTACCTCCTACTTTAACTTTCGCTTGGTCAAGTCTAATCTCAGACTTATCTAGACGTAAACGATTTTTTTCTTCTGAAATATGACATCGCCTATCGAAAATGTGATTGCACGTGTAAACACACTCACGATATAACACCCCGCTATTGTTGTACCGTTACTTATATTGTATATTGACATAACGCGATCGTTGGAATTGAGGGAGTGTAGGTGATGTCAGATACTAGGCACTTTAATGCATTCTAAATCTTAACTTTTGTTAGTATCTATTGTAGTCTTTTCACCTATTACTTACAATGATCCAATTTTTTGTAGACAAGAAAAATTATTTTTGTGTCCATACTACTTCATGATCAATAAACCTAAAACTAATACCAAAGTTGACAAGGGCAGTATTGATGTCCTAAAGTCCAAAATGAGAGCTTCTAGGACATGCACTGCTATTTTGAAGATAATTTTTCTTAGACTAATCTCAATATGGTAAGAAAAAAAAGAACTAGACAATCATCCATTTCATGCTCTACTGGGCTCGCAAGTTAGGATGTCTCATGTCATTATAACCACATTATCAGAGCAAAAAAACATTAGTAAAGCCCAGATTTTCCAATTATCAATAATTGTAAAAGCTAGTGTCGTAAACTAATATAGAAGATTTAGAGAAATGATTAAGGCTAGTTTTTTTCTTACCATAGTTTATTCGACACAAATATTTACAAAAACGTTTGAATGACCTCAATTTTTAGTCGAGAATATCAGTTATGTGCTCTGAATTTGGAAGAGTTGCCTAAAAGTTTAGTCAAAGTTTCCTTGGAAAAGACCAATTTGAATAACTAAAAAAAATATCGACCTGCCTGAAAAAGTCGTGCTAGCTGGCTGCCGTCCAGTCGTGCTAGCTGGCTGCCGTCCAGTCGTGCTAGCTGGCTGCCGTCCAGTCGTGCTAGCTGGCTGCCGTCCATGGTTTGCCTTGTAAAAGTTCTGGGGTGGGGTGGGCGAATATACATTTGTTTTTTTGGTTACATGCTGTTCTTTATTCCATAAATATATTTTATTTTATGTCATGATTATGTATCTTTTGATAATATTTTTATGTGTATCGCGGTGAGCCCAGCCCTAGGCTGGGGTACCGCGCTATATAAGACCACTAATTATTATTATTATATATTGGGATCTAAGGGATTATTGGAATGTTAGTTCTATTCATTTCTATACTGCCCAGGAGTTTACTGTTCTCTCAGTATCAATGAAGAATTTTTTGATACGGGATCCCAAATGGGTCAGGATCCCATCATAATCTTTATCCCAACGGGATCAGGATCCCATCAGAAAACGGTATCACACTGGGTGGCCAGGCAGTCTAAACTGTCTCAAACCGAAAATCTGGTGGTCCAGAGTTCAATCCCCACCAAAGCCAACATCCCAAGCACCCTGGATGGGACTCGTTAGCCTTGGACGGCGACCCATCTAAGAGAAGGCAAACTCTGAATTTAAACCAGGAGCCAGAATGATCAACAAATTGATCATGGGCCCCTCAAATATAAGAAGAAGAAGAGGATCAGTATGTTAAACTTGAATGGATCCACCGGGATTGTCATCACAAGGGGAAACGGGACTCCGCGACATCGGGGTCCCAATGGGATCGGGGGTCACACAAGGTTGGGGTCCTAATGTTTCCGGGCACATATGCTAGTATATATATATATATATATATATAAGTGAATGTTTGTGGCGGTGTTTGTTCCACAAAGGCTTTTCCACGGATTGCTGGTTCTTGACAATACATGGCACATATATCCATCATTTTCCGGAAGGAACTCTTAAGGGGTTATGAACTTTTTAAAACATTCCGTTTGGGGCCGGGGGCCACGAATTCGTTTTTTCCTTATATGAGCTTTATAAATAAAATGACTAAAATACTCCTGCATGAATGGATGGATCTTGACCAAACTTAATACACATATACTTGATTATCCATATTCAAATACCAAAGGGTACTGAACTCATAATATCCATTTTTCAGTGGCCGGGGGCCCATTTCATTTTTCCTTATATAAGCTATATAAATATCAATAGGCTTAAACAACACTTTAGGTTTTATGTGAATTGATGGATCTATGCCTAGCTTGGTAGCAATACTCTTCATTGAACGTATTGGAATATCTGTAAAGTTAAAACTAAGAATATCGCATCTAGAATTTTCCAGAAATTTCGATAATTTTAAAAAGCTACCAGCTAAGACATTTTAAAGTAGATTTTAATGGGACAAATTTAAATTTTAACTTTATTATTTTTCTGACTGATTTTTATACGGCCCATTATGTCAGGCATAACCAAATTTATACAGTTAGGAAATGGGTCCCTCGATTAACTTAAAAGTAAAAGGATTATAATTATGGCATTTGTCCTAAGTTCTAGTCTTATTTATTGACATGTGCCCTGCCAATACTCAAAACACAACATAATAGTGGTTATTTCCCCTTACACAAAATATGTCACGCAATACCAAGCATTTAATAGCAACATCCACCCAAATTCTATCTACTAAACATCTTTTCCCATACAATACATTCACAACACAGCCATGTAAAGAATTTAACATTTAATAATCAACAATCAAATATCTATACAAATATTTTTGAATACCGAACGTGGTATCAAGAAAAGCTAATACCCCTGTATAAAAAAAATCAAAGTAACAAGTTAAGCACAAAATGTACTCCGGAAGCTTTAAGCATGAAAACGACATAATTATTTGTCAGTAACAATTAATAACATTACAACTATTGTAAAATGAAATGGAAAATAAAAGTTCCATCAGAAAGCAGGCACCACAGATTGTTGATTTATTTCTTTTAAGTTTTATGGGCACTTCTTATGAAAAAACAGTGTTCATAAAGCTTTAGAACATAGACTGGATATGTACATGACTGGCGTCCACAAGTCTTATAATAAACAGACTTTTAATATTTTTAGAAGTCGTAGAACAGCAATCTTTTTTAAAATGGAATGGGGAAGAAATGTAATCATTTTAAAAGTATAAAGTTTTTGAAGGTGGCATTTGTGCAAAACTACATTGCCTAAGAACCTAAATTGTATATTAGAGCAGAATAGAAAGGCACTTTAAACCTAAAAGAATTATCAAACATTGTTAAACACCTTGCAAAACATGTTTTTTATGTTAATTTGTGATTAACCGTAATTTAAATAATAATCAAAAACAAAGTTATTAGACTGATTTTATGTGGTAAAATTTGTTTAAAATATTGTAGTTGTTAGGGGGTCGTTAGCTAATTACATCACACTCAAGGGGGAGGGACTCCTGGAGGGTCCAGAATTTGTGACACTTTGTGACGGGGGGGGAGGTTCAACAATTTGTGATGGCAATTTTAAAAAAAAAATTTTAAGTTTCTAATTTTTAAAAAAAAATCTTTCTTTAATTAGTTTTAAAAACATTAATTTGAAGTCAAAATTGCCTCAGCTATTGTATGTACAATGAAGCTCAGTTTTCTAATAATACTACATCTTAATCCATTATGGAAAAATTTTAAAGAATAAAATAAAATTTAAGTTATGAAAATTGTATGCATGTTTTGAATTTTTTTAGGGGTGACATGACACGGGGGGGGGGGGAATGTGTAAAACGTCGTGACAGGAGGGTGGGGGGTCTAAAAAGGTCATTTATAGCATGACGTACTTTACGAAAGACTCCTTATTTTTTGTGTTGATTTGAGCTGTTTCATACCATACACAGCATTCAATTTTAATTTGTTTGGTCAGACGTTGTTAAATTAATTGTTGCTCCATTTTTTTCTTAACAGCATAGCAATCTCAGAGTGTTCATTTTCAGTTGCAAGTTGCAGCGCACTGTTACCGTCAGGTGCCTTCTTGTTAACTTCAGCATGAATTTCAATCAAAAGTTTTACAATTTTTTTGTGACCTTTCTCCAAGACTATTATTAACGATGTCAAGACATCCCATGTCTCATTAACGTCTGCTCTATTTTTAATCTCCAAAAAGATAGCCTCAAAATCACTTATTTCTGCTAGTTTTATCAGCAGGCTCCGCTTTCAATCCTTTGTGGGCTTAACTTTGTCCTTAGTTGTATCAGATAAATTGGTAGTTTTGTCGTCATCATTTTGATCTGTTTTCAATAGCGTGGTATCTGCTGAAGCAATTTCTGGGTCAGTTTTCTTGGAGTTTTCTTTTTCTATGTCAATTATAGGCTGCAATTAAAAAAAAAAATTAAATTAGAATCCAGTAGGAAAATTTAAAAAAAAATCATTTACAGTACCGGTACCATGTCAATTTCGCTTTTTTGGAATCCCAAACCCAACCCGGTTTGAGCACAATTTTTTTTAACCTTCAATTATAAAATGTTATATTGATTTTGTAAAAAAAGTAGATCATACAGGTAACATGCAATTAATTGAAATAAAGTTATAGCTGTTTGAAATTCCAAATAAACATTTCAATCAAGGGAATATTGAGTAATGTATACTTTATATGTATGTATAAAATTTCCTTGAGATAAAATGACACACTAAATATATAATGTGAGATGTCTTTTGCAAATATTTCACGTCTATTTAACATGTTTATGCCATTCTTATACGATTTATAAATCATTCCAAGTTTGAAGAAAAAAAAATCATTACATTTTTAGAACATTTCTGCAAAACATTTTATTTTCTCTTTGGACTCAGGTATTGGTAACACTTGGAAAGAAAAGTTAATTATTAGTTGATATTTTGTTGTTGTCTATTTGCGTTCAACATGTAAAATGATGTTATCAGTACTTTCTAAGATAGACACCTTGTTTTGATGCAATATCTTTTAAAAATTCATTTACTTATTAAGTACTTTACACAAAAAAAAACTTTAAATTAAAAAAAAAAAAGCATAAATATTTATTACCCAATAGAAAATTATTATTTTTATATCACAAGGAAAAGAAGCGGCATCTGTGGCTTGACTTTTCCAGGCCCCAAATAATTTTTGTATTTGTCCCCCCTCCCCACTTTGAAGTATTCAAAGGAATAATTAAAAAGTTGTTGCAATTAAAACTATGAGCCCCTTAACACCCAAGACCTCCTGCGGGTGCATGGTTGCAGGGCCCATATGACGGCTCTAATGTTAAGTAACACATTTTTAACCAGAACCACTACTGTTGCTCTCCAATTAAGTGTAGTATGATGCAAAACTAAAATTGCAATGTGATTAAATGCATTATTGTATTAATAATTTATTAAAAATTTTCTGGGGAGGAGCTAAATGAGTCCGGTCCCCAGACCCTTCCCTCACTTTTACATTACCTATAAGTCTTCGACACACTCATTTTCTGCTTTTCCACTTCCTTTCGCCAATCAATTTTAAAATAAAAGATAATAATTGATGGACTGCATTCAAGTTGTGTAAATGAAATATATAAAAAAAAAAGTATGCTAAACTTGAATTCATAGACAGGACAACAGATTTTGTTGTTTCGGCTTCGAGCCTTCAAAAGGCAACAAAAGGAAACCTCTAAAATTTGTGTTTTACTGTAATCTAATACTTGTTATACTTATTTTTGTCTTGTTTTCTAATGAAGGATCTAAGCTGAAACATCAAAATGTTTTGTCCTGTCACTGTCTATTTATTCAAGTTTAGCATACTTTGTTCTTATATTTCAATTTGAAAGTACTTGATTGTATCAAAACTTGTGCCAAAAGATTACCCTTGATCGTGACAACCAGAGTAAATTAATTGTGCGTATTGCACTGGACGTCACAATGCCTACTTTACATATGTTCGCTTAAAATGTCCTCACCCATCCCCCCCCCCAAAAAAACCTCCAAAAAAACACACGCACAGACTCAAATTTTCTAATAGAAACACTGCAATAAGGAAAATCTCAAAATGTACTACTGGTTTTTGAAATATAATAATAAATAGGCATTTGGGGATGGGTTCCCTAGGATACTTCCACATTGCATTCAGGGGCCATCGGTGCCCTCAATTTATGCCTCACTTTCAAAACAAATGACAGTATAGTTAACCCTGGTCATCAATTTTTATGCCTAGTGGCGCAGCTAGTGTCACACTTGGCAAACGTAGAGTTCTTCTGTACTTCTATCCATGTTTAAAAATCCTACAGTTGTCTGAAAATGCCACCATTCCATATGAAAATAGGGACAAAAGGCAGACAACCCTTCCACCCTCTTGCTACATCAATTGCACTGCCTACCCAAAAATCTGAACTGCACCCCCCTCCTGGAAGAAATTATCTGAAACCAACACTGAGCATTCATACTTACGGCTATTGATTTCTTTAATACTGACATTTAAGTTTAAAAATCTTTATTATTATTTTTTTAAAAGCTATAATTATAATGGAATTAACAAAATTCTTGCATCAGAGACACAGAACCATTCTTTTTGGTCTAAGGCTGTAACTGGGCACTATATTACTATAAAACACAAAGCCAACATTGTTTAACCAAAATTATGAAAGAATGGGATTTAGTTTAATAGTCCAAGAAAATAATTAGAAATCATGAACTTCCAGTTTGTAATTTATTAAAAAAAATAAAACCCCTATTTCCCTGCAAATACGCACATGCACGGAAAACCTAAAAAATCACACAGCCAACATCTCAAGACAAAAAAAAAGAAAAAATGAAAAATGGAAAACAAGTAAGTTGGTAATAACTTATAAATGAATGAATTTTCTCTTATTTATTTCATATCATTTTATTAACAAATTTAATTTAACTTTAAATAATTTTCCAGTTTGTAATTTATTAAAAAAAATAAAACCCCTATTTCCCTGCAAATACGCACATGCACGGAAAACCTAAAAAATCACACAGCCAACATCTCAAGACAAAAAAAAAAAAAAAAAAAAAAAATAAAAAAAAAGAAAAAAAAAAAAAAAAAAAAAACCCCACTACCCCACAAAAACCCAAAAACCAGAAAAAAACAAAAAAAAAAAACACAAAAAACCACAAAAAAAAAAAAAAAAAAAAATGAAAAATGGAAAACAAGTAAGTTGGTAATAACTTATAAATGAATGAATTTTCTCTTATTTATTTCATATCATTTTATTAACAAATTTAATTTAACTTTAAATAATTTAAAGGGCAATGTCAACGAATCATGTGTTAGATTCCTACAACATTGCGGAATTGTAAAGATTTTTTTGTATATTTTTCTACTTTTTTGGAATAACTATTGTTTCAACTTACCTTTGGTTTAATGAATCCAAAACATTGTGTGAATTTGTAGACTACGCCAATGCTATTAAAAAAATGTTACTTCATTAAAAAAATTAATAATAAAAAATCATATTTAATATATTAATAGCTATTAAATAGAAATGTGATGTCTTATTTAAATCATTTTGTCTAATCAAAAGTAAATACACATTATATGTAAATGCATCCATTCAACAAAATAAATTGAAAAACAAAATACTTTAATTGAGTAGGTCACATAATGTTTTAGTTTTAGGTATATAATATTATTTTATATTCATATTTTCTTTATTTTAGCTCATATACATTAATCATCTTATTTTTAAGCAAAGTAATTTTATTCTTTTATATTATAAAAAAAAACAAAAGAAACAAATAAAACAAAAAAAATTACCCAACTATCAAAGTCAAGATGCCGCTGACAACGCCAACAACTTTTCCAATTATTGGGGTTGTACCGGTACTTGTATTGTCAGTATTTGTATTGTCGGTACTTGTTTTTTCGGTGCTTGTATTGTCTTGATGGTCACCTTTTTCCGAGTAAGCTAGAAAGAAACAAGTTTTATTTGTAAAAACAATTAAGAAATTATGACATCAGTTCGAATTTAACCTTACGGCTGGTGCGCTTTTTTCTTTCAGACCAGGTGCGGTGTATCAATTTGATATCTCTAATGAGTGACTGGTTAAATTAGTTTATTTTATTGAAGTTTGGTCAAATAATTTATTTTAAAAATAATGTAACCAATTCACAACTTAAAATTAAAATTCATCGCCAATGATAAATCTTGACCTACTGTAATGTAACATGCATATACCATTTTTTATTTTTAATAAAAAAAAAAAAACTAAAAAAAAAAAAAGGGGGGGGGGGTAAGCTGAGACAACAATATAGGGTTCTACATGTAACATGAATATAATCTAAGCATGGTATCTATATAACCTTGATTTTCCATATTAAAATGTCGGTGGACTTAAAAGTACCGGGTATTAATATCCACTACTTTTCGAGCTGGTCAATAATTTTCCAGAAAGTTTGATAATTTAACAGAATAGGGGGAATCTGGGCACAGTGGAACAGAAATCTTATTTTTATTAATATTCAAAAAGTTTTCACAGATATTTTAATGTTGTATGTGCACATTGATTGTATTACATCATAGACATGGATAAGAATCCTTAAAATGTGGTAAAATATAACAAATATTGCTCAGAGCCTTTCAAAGTGTGCAGGGATAAGTGATTCACTGTGCCCCAGTACCAGGGTACAGTGAGTGAATCCCGACCTGGAACACAGTGAATCAATATGGAAATTGAATCATTATCTCTGGCTTACTTGAAATTGATTTAAATTATAATGAGGGTAATGAATTTGAGGGTTATGAAATTAAGGCAATTATTGCACAAAATATTATTTTTTATATAAGAACCTTATATAAATTCAAATATCAACAGTCATACAACCTACATATTTTTTTAAACCATAGTCTATGGCATAAACTCAGACACTGAAAAATGAAGGCTAACAATTTTTAAATGAATAATTTATTTAATTGTAACACAAAACAATTTAAATAATCAAATGGGAAAAACATTTAAATTTGAAATGTTAACTCAATTATTTAAATGAATGACTTTATAGCCATGACCTCTTATTTTAACTAAGCCCATATTTTTGCTTAAAATGATTTTTATACTGGATTGAAAATATTTTGTTGCATATTTCTCCACATCGAAACAATTATTCCTTAGAAAAGGGATTTTTCACAATTTTCTTTTAGGTATGGGGTTAAATTAAATCTAGAATATTCTAGAAAGTTTTCGATATATAGTTAGATCTTAATGGTTATGAAAATAGTAGTTTCATTCTATAGAGCTCTATTAAGTTCTACAACTTCCAGTATATTTTTTCAGAATCTTTGAATGATCTTTCTACCTACCAGTTTCTTTATTTTCCCCCCACAACTTTAAATGAGATTCCTCAAATGTTGGGAAGAAAGATTTTTGAGTTTCTAGAGAGTTCCAAATTAAGTTTCCTTCACAACAGCTTCAGAAATAGACAAAAATGAAGTTGATGGATCATATTACACTTTACGCTCTTAAGTGTATTTATGAATTCGGCCAAAGTTAGCTCCTTATTGTAGGAAACAATTAGGTGTATCTGATGAATCAGAATCGGAATCAAAAGAACAAGATCCACATAAGAACCGGATCACACCAGGGCAATCAAATACATTAATCTTCTTGATTAGTGATGACAAATAATTAGATGGTAGCAACTTCTAAGGCCTTTGTGATACGATCAAGAGGGCATTTTAAATAAAAAATGCATTATCTTTGCTTTTACACTATCATTGGTAGAAAGGCCAATCTTTATTATCTTGCTTAGGATTTTGCTTGTGTATAAATTTTAATCATTTCATTTTATAAACATTTTTGCTGGCTCACAATGATACTATATGACTAGTTCGGTTTTGGAGAATACATGATAAAAGGTAAAAGTTGCATGTATAAGTACAAAGGAGATACCATACTTAGTTTTAGCAATTAATTATTAACATTTGTTGTAATAATAAAAAATATCAATGTTTCAATATTGCAACTCCCTTTTCCATTTCCCTGGTGGAGACAATGAATTTTATGGGTGTGTAATACACCACATTTCCAGTTTCGGGAAGCATCCGGCTGAGCCTTATACACCGCTCATTGTAGTGCTTGAAATCAAGAAATACATATGATATACAAAAGTAACTGTTTACTCTGACATGCACTAGACCTAACTTTAATGAAATATATTTGGAAAAATAGTTGTATGTTGACATATATTTTTGAATATCAAGAATAGCTAATATAAAAAAATCAAAGTAACAAGCAAAGCACAAAATTTACTCCGGAAGCATTAAGCATGATTAATACATAATTTTTAGTCCATGACATTACAACTATTGTAAAATGAAACGGAAAACAAAAATTGGATCGGAAAAAAGTTATGACGCATTGTTGATTTATTTCTTTTAAGTTTAAGTGGACAAATCTTACTAAAAAACACAAAAGTGTTCATAAAGCTTTAGAGCATAGTCTGGATATGTACATGTCTGGTGTCGACACGTCTTATACTAAACAGAACTTTATTGTTTTTAGAAGCGGAAAATTAAGAAAAAAATGTTGTTGATGGCAGAACAGCAATCTTTTTTTTAAATTTAAAGGTAATGGGGAAGAAACTTAATTGTTTTACAGTATAAAATTTTGAAGGTGGTATTAGTGAAACTGGCTTGCCATTGTTCATTGCTTAAAAACCTAAATTGTATAATAGAGCAGAATAGAAAGGCATTTTAAACCTAAAAGAATTTTCAAACATTAAACATCTTGCAAAAAATATGTTTTGTTTGTTGTGGTATAGTAATTAAAAACAAAGTTATTAGACAAGCAATTCTGCAAAATTTTATGGGGTAAAATTTGTTTAAATTAATGTAGTTGTTATTTTTTGTGTTGATTTTAGCTGTCTTATACCATATTCAGCATTTAATTTTAATTCGTTTTGTCAGATGTTAGAAAATTAACTGTTGCTCAATTTTTTTCTGAACAGCATAACTATCTCAGAGTGTCCATTTTCAGTTGCAAGTTGAAGCACAATTTTACCATCAGGTGTCTTCTTGTTAAATTCAGCATTATTTTCAATCAACTTGGCTTTCAAGTGTTGTGGGCTTAACTTTGTCCTCAGTTCTATTCGATATATTGGCAGTTTTGTCATCATCGTTTTGGCTTTTTTTCAATAACGTGGTATCTGCTGAAGCGCTTTCTGTGTCAGTTTTATTCAAGCTTTTCTTTTTTATATTAATTATAGGCTGCAATATAAAAAAAAAAAATTAAATTAGAATCCAGTAGAAAATAAAAAAAATCATTTACCATTTTTTTAGAATCCCAACCCAAACCGGTTTGAGCACAATTGTTTTTTTTTTTATACCTTTAAAAATATGTTATATGGATTTTGTAAAAAAAATTGTTTAAGTAGATCATACAAGTAATATGCAACAAATCGAAATAAAGTTATCATGCTGTTTGAAATTCCAAATAAACATTTCAATCAACTGAATATTGAGTAATGCATACTGTAAATGTATGTATACAATTTTCTACAGATAAAAGGACACACTAACTATAAGATATCTTTTGCAAATATTTCATATTACATATTTATGCCATTCTTATACGATTTATAAATCATCAAATTTTTAGAACTTTCCACAAAACATTTTATTTTCTCTTTTGACTCTGGTGACAGAAACATTCAGAAAAGGTAATTATTATGATGATTTTTTGTTGTTGTCCATTTGCATTCAACATGTAAAAAGGATGTAATCAGTACTTTTTCTAATAGAAAGCTTTATTTGACGCAACATCTTTTTAAAATTTATTTACATATTAAGTATTTTACACAAAAAATATTTGTAATTTTTTAAAAAATGCATAAATATTTAGTACTTAATAGGAAATTATTATTTTTATATCACAAGGACAAGAAGCTCAAGAAAAGGAAACCAATAAATTTTTTTTTTTTTTAACAGTGATCTGATACTTTTGTCGTGTTTTCTGATGAATGCTCTAAGCTGAACTGTCAAAATCTTTTGTCAAGTCTATGAATTCAAGTTTAGCATACGTTGTTATATTTCAATTTGAAAGTACTTGGTTGTACAGAAACCTGTGCCAAAAGATTACCTTGGATCACGAAAACTGGAGGAAATTCATTATGTTTATGGTATAGGACATCACAATACCTCATTTACATGTTGGCTTAAAATATCCTCCCCCCCCCCTCCCAACGCTCAAATTGTCTAATAGAAACACTGAAAATAGGAAAACATTAAAATGTTTTATGGTATAGGACATCACAATCCCTCATTTACATGTTGGCTTAAAATATCCTCCCCCCCCCCCCTCCCAACGCTCAAATTGTCTAATAGAAACACTGAAAATAGGAAAACATTAAAATGTACTACTCTTTTTGGAAATAATATATACAAATTTAAAGATGGGTTCCCTAGAATACTCCCCCAATTTCATACAGGGGCCATCGGTGCCCTCAATTTCTGCCTCACTTCCCAAGCAAATGATAGCATAGTTTGCCCTGGTCACCAATTATGACGCCTGGTGGAGCCGCTAGTGTAGTGCTGCACTTGACAAGCATAGAGTTCTTCCGTACTTTTATCCAAGAGTCAAAATCCTACAGTTGTCTGAAAATGCCACCACTCAATATAAAAAAAGGGACCAAAGGCAGACAGCCCTTCCACCCTCTTGCTACATCAGTTGCACTGCCAACCCAAAAATCTGAAATGCACCACCCTCCCGAAGAAAATTATCTGAAACAAACACTGAGCATTCATACATAGGGCTATTGATTTCTTTAATACTGCCAATAAAGTTAAAATATCATTATTTTTTTCTTACCTCTAATGGAAATAACAAAATTCTTGCTTTTAACTGTCAGCCGAGGGCTAAAAGTTCTGAACTTTAAACATAGTCAAACAGTAATGAATCTCTAAATTTAATTTTGATCATTTGTTTATACATATACACTTTCCACATTATTCCTTTATGAAAACCTCCTAGAAAAGGATAAATAACTATTGCACTTAGATGAACAATTTTTGTGTTATTTCCTCTATTGGCAAGCTAATTATTTTTTATGTTTTAATATAAACAACATTAAAATGTGCACTGCCAATAATTTGATAAGTCTTTGTAACTTTGAACTTTTAACATTAGAGGTAAGTTGTTTATTTCAAGAAATAATATGTTCAAATACTGCACAGGTGTGTAATAAATTGAAGTTGAAACATTTCAATGTCTGAAATTGAAGGCAAAATTTTATGTCAATACAACACAAAAATCTACATAACAAACTCAATGAAAACTATTGCTAAGAAACTTGTCATGCATTTTCGCTCCATATTGCGTCAGACGCACAGAACCATTGTTTATGGACTAAGGCTGTAACTGGGAACTATATTACTATAAAACAAAAAGCCAAAAAATTATTCATAATTTCGAAAAATAGCGATTGAGTGTTAAAGCCTAAAAAATTATTAGCAATCATGAACTTCCAGTCTGTAACAAATGAAACCCCTTTTTCTCTCCAAATACCCAAAAACCTAAAATATCACACTTCTCAAAAAAAAATTTAAAAAAATGGAAAACATAAGTTGGTAATAATTTATAAATGAATGAATTGTCTCTTATTTATTTCATAACAATTTATTAAAAAATTTAATTTAACTTTAAATAATTTAATGCCCAATGTCAATGAATCATGTTTTAGAATCCTACAACATTGCGGAATTGTAACGATTTTTTTGTATATTTTTCTACTTTTTTGGAATAACTATTGTTTCAACTTACCTTTGGTTTAATGAATCCAAAACATTGTGTGAATTTGTAGACTATGCCAATGCTATTAAAAAAATGTTAGTTCGTTAAAAAAATTAATAATAAAATATCATATTTAATTTATTAACAGTTATTAAATAGAAATGTAATGTCTTATTTAAAATATTTTGTCTAATCAAAAGTAAATACACAATATATGTAAATGCATCGATTTAACAAAATAAATTGAAAAACAAAATACTTTAATTGAGTAGGTCACATAATGTTTTAGTTTTAGGTATATATTATTATTTTATATTTATATTTTCTTTTCTTTATTTTGGCTCATATACATTAATCATCTTATTTTTAAGCAAAGTAATTTTATTCTTTTATATTATAAAGAAAAAACAACCAAATAAAACAAAAAAACATTACCCAACTATCAAAGTCAAGATGCTGCAGACAACGCCAACAACTTTTCCAATTATTGGGGTTCTACGGGTACTTGTATTGTCGGTATTTGTATTGTCCGTATTTGTTTTGTCGGTACTTGTTTTTTTGGTGCTTGTATTGTCCTGATGGCCACCATTTTCTGAGTAAGTTAGAAAGAAACAAGTTTTATTTGTAAAAACAATTAAGAAATTATGACATCAGATCGAATTTAACCTTACGTCGGGTGCGCTCTTTTCATAATGAGACCAGGTGCAGTGTATCAATTTGATATTCGTAATGAGTGAATGGTTAAACTAGTTTATTTTATTGAAGTTTGGTCAAATAATTTATTTGAAAAATAATTTAACCAATGCACAGCATAAAATTCATCCCCAATAAATATTTTTTTGAATTTCCTCCACATCATTGAGATTCTTAAAATCAAAGATTTTCCTACCACCCGTCACATTTGACAGCAGAAGTAACCAGAAATATGTAAGGATCAGTTTAAATATCTCGTATTAGGGAAATGTATCACTATGATTTTTATTATTTAATAAAAAGATAATGTATGTATAGCAAGATTAAAAAAGTAACTTACCAGAGCAAGAAAAATATTCAATTTTAAAACTTTAAAACATCAAATTGAACAAAACAGTTAAAATATGCCTTCTGAAAGGCTTTCTACACACTTAATGGTCTTGACTTATAAATTTAAGGAAAACTTTAAGCTACTGAGAAGTAGCGCTCGCTGTCATCTCTCATTAAGGTGTGAGACGCAAAAAAGTTTGGCCTGTATCAATCTGATCAAGTGCATCTTACTAAAGGTTAATCTGGCTACGGTTATTTCAGCTAAGGCTAATAACATTATTTCCTGTCTGCGGATTAAAACAGAACTCTAGACTAGATATTGTCAACCCCAATCTCAGTGTCATGTGTCAGGTATGAGTAATTTAATGATATTTGTTTCTTAAAATATCAATTTTCTTGAAATTTATAAGAAGCTTGGATATCTATAAGCAGTTGCTATTTGTTACATATGCACAACAAGCTTAGCAGGCTAAAAGGAGAAAAAAGACAATGGAGTCAAAAAAGAAAACAACTCATAACAATAAATGTGGATGGTAGGAACAGTGTCTATTTCTAAAATATTCCATATTTAATTTGAGTGTTTTATGTCATAGCAATACTAGTAATGAAATTATTTCTGGAGCGCCAAGCCAGTGTACCATTTATTGAAGACTAAACGGCTGACAACAACAAATTTAACACTTAATATTTTATATTTATAAGAATATTTATTATTTAAAATTTTTTTTTTTTTTAAATTAGTATGTCATTCAAATATAAAAAGCAGGTTTGTATTTTAAAAAAAAATTAATTTCTAAAACAAGAAAATATTTTTAAGAACGTACATTTTAATATTACTTACTCATATTAAGTATACAGTTGATGGTGATGATTTCTCCATCAAGTCTGCAGGCTGCATATTTAATAGTCACATACAGTTCTTCAGTTTTTGTTGTCTTTCTTTTAAGCACTACATGATTTTCCCCCATTTTTTTAACGTCATTGTCCACATGTATTTCTATCACACATGGCTTGGCATAACTAATACATTTAAACTCAAGATTTAGTTCATTGGTATCAATAATTGCATAACAAGATGTATCTGTTGGTTTATCTTGTCCATTTATGATCAGTTGACCAGTTGCGTTTGTTGGTTCTGGAAGAAAGGGAACAAACATTATTTTGTAAAATTGATAGAAATGCATAATCATTTTTTTTTCTTTAAGTCCTTGTCAGTGGTGTCACTAAGGGGTGCAGCAGCGTAGACTGCTCCAGGTGAAACCCACACAGGTGGATGACACATTGTGCAATGTGAAGTTTAACAGAGTTCCCTCCCGTCGGTTTCCTAAATACACTCAGATAAAAACAAGAACAGATTGCCACCAGAATAAGGTGTAACCAGAAATGGATGCTACAGATCATGGAGCTGCCAAAACGAGGTTTCAGAGTGCTGCCAGATCAGGTGTTGTTCGTCAGTCGGAGTCGATCATGACCACTTTAATCATCACAGTTTGTGCTGGTTCTGTCTGTGGGTGCGCAGATGGCTAATGAGGCCGATTCTGGCACGAAATTCTCTTGTGCAGTATGCATGGACGCCCGCGGGGGGGGGGGGGGGGGGGGGGGGGAGGGGGGGGGGGGGGGGGGGGGGGGGGGGGGGGGAGGGGGCCAATTCCAGTGTCTCTTTCTCTGAATGCATCGGTCAGCATTGCTGTAAAAAAAGGCTGTAAAGTGTTGGGGCAAGTAAACATCTTTGTTTCATGCCATTTGTTACATGGAATGGTTTTGACGTCTCTCCATTATCCCGAACTCTAGCCTGCATACCTTCATGAAATAGTCGTACCATTGACACGAACTTTCTGGGGCATCCATATTTGGCCATGATCTTTCAAAGGCCCTCTCTACTGACAGTGTCAAAAGCTTTGGTCAGGTCTACAAAAGTAGAGAAAAGGTCAACATTTTGTTCCCTGCAATTTTCATGTAGCGGTCTGGCCGCAAACCCCATATCGATGGTTCCTCGTTCCTTCCGGAAGCCACATTGACTTTCTGGCAGTAAACCGTTTTCAACAAACCTGTTAAGACGATTTAGCAAGATTCTGGCTAATATCTTGCCTGCAATTGAGAGCAATGATGTGCCATGGTGGTTGTCGCATGATGGACAGTTCCCTTTACGCTTGTACAGATGAACAATAGATGCATCTTTGAAGTCCTGTGGAATGATCTCTTGCTGCAATCATAAGTATGAACAGCTGGCAAAGCCTTTCAGACAGAGCTGTCCCCACTTCTTTGTATACTTCAGACGGAACTGAGTCACCACCTAGTGCTTTTCCGCTTGAGAGAAGGCTTATAGCATGTTGGGTCTCTGAGAGGGTAGGGGGTCTTCCAGTTCTTGATTGAAAGGAACCTGTTTGAAATGATATATGGCTTCATCATTAATGGATGAAGGTCGATTCAGGATGTTGTCAAAGTGTTCAGCCCAGCGTTCAATAATTGTTTCCTTCTCAGTGATTAGAGTTTTCCCATCTGCACTCAGAAGTGGGGATGATCCTGATGAAGTGGGGCCGTAGACTGTTTTTAGAGCGAGGTAGAAATTTTTTAGGTCATGTTGGTCCACATAGCTTTGGATCTCGTTGGCCTTGTCGCTCAACCATTTATTCTGCATTAGACGCAGTTTCTGCTGAATCGTTCTTCTTATACTTTGGTACGCACCTTTCATTGGGATTGGCCTCTGGTTGTTTAGGGAAGCGTAGTGGAGATGGTGTTTTTCATTTAGCAGTTGCTTGATTACGTCACAGTTATCATCACACAAATCCTGATGTTATTTTAAACGTGGCCCCAGAAACTCCATGGCGGTGTTGTATAAAATAGATCTAAGTGATGCCCAGTTGGCTTCGAAATTGTCATTTTCCAATAGTGTGGACTCCATAGGTTCTTCCAGAGCATCCACAAAGAATTTCTTAATGTTACGGCTTTTCAGCGTTGTGGTATTTAGATGTTTAGGGCTCTTCTTCCCCTGTGGGCGTCTTTTGGGTTGTATGTGTAGGTTGAGCTGGGTGATAAAAAGATGATGATCAGTCCAGCATTCTGCACCACACATGGATTGTTAAAAGTATGTCTTGACTGTCCTATCTCCTGAGGATGAGGTGCCAATGTTATGAACGAGGATGCATCCAGTAGGCGAAATATTGTGTTAGTAATCAGCAGTTCAGATCAGGTACGCACTAGATCAGGGTGTCAGAAAGCACAGTAGGGTGCAATTGTAATTACCATAGTAATTGCCATACAAACAGTGTGCAACAAGAAAAGGCTGCAAATAATAGGGTTTCTATCTTCGCAGATTGCCTCCATAGAAAGGTGGCCACCAGAACAGGGTGTCCGACAGAAAATTTGGGCAAAAAAGACTGGCTGGGAGCTCTCCCAATCCTCTTATTAAGCTTCAATTATTAATCACGATCTATATATATTGTAACTTCAAGTTAGATAAGCTTTTTCAAAAAGTTTAACTATTTACTATTTACCATTTTAAAGTTAATATATATATATCTCAACCACATCTTCATATCCATAGGAGTATTCAAACTAGAACATAATCGTTAGTGTGTTCATGAATCATCTTAAAAGCCACAATATACTCAATGACTGTCAGCGTGGCTTCTGAGTCAAAAGATCATGTGAGACCCCAATCCTTGAATTTGCTGAAGAATTGACGACTAATCTGGAGAACAGCAAGAAAACTGATGTGCTTGTGATGGACTTCTCAAAGGCATTTGACAGTGTCAATCATAGCTTGCTATTACACAAATTGAAGAGAAATATGGGATCCAAAGCACTACAAAAATATGGATCTTTAGCTTCCTCTGAGACAGATACCAGGCAGTAGTGGTAGACTGCACAACCTCCTCCTTTGCCAGTGTTAAGTCAGGGGTCCTCCAGGGCTCGATGCTAGGCCTCTGTTCCTAGCATATATCAATGACCTACCCAGGAAGCTGACCTGCCAAGCAAGACAGTTCGCATATGACTTGGCAACGTATAGGACAATCGCTAGCAGTACTGACCAGGACCAGCTACAACAGGACCTCCATCGGTTAGTTGAGTGGGAGATGAGCTGGGAAATGCAATTTCATCCCGTCAAGTGCCAGATCCTGTCAGATTTGCATGGACATATTCTTAAACCAGTTTCCTCCATAAAGTGCCTCGGGGTAACCATTCAAAGAGTGGTCCGCTGAGACAAGCACATTAACAATGTGTGCAACCGCGCAAACAAGCTTGTAGGGTTTCTAAGGCAAAAATCTGAAGATCGGCAACTCAAGCGTGAAATAAAAAGCCTTTGTCCGGCCTCTTTTAGAGTACTCATTTTCAGTTTGGGACCCATTCACCCATAAAAGCACCGAAAGGCTGGAGGCAGTCCATCGACGGGCAGCACTCTTTGTCCTGAACAGCTACAAAAACACCTGAAGTGTTGGCAGCATGCTGGAAACAATGGGCTATTCACCATTGGAGGATCGATGATGACTATTCAACTCTCCAGTAAGTACAAGATAAAATTGGGCTGGTCCACTGCTCCAACATTAAACAGAAACTTGTCCCTCTCCCCCCTAGACAGTGACGAATCCACGACAGGCCGTTTCAGCTCCTGAAAACAAGAACTCAGTACAGGAGCTCCTAATTCCTGCCAAAGACAATAAGGGACTAGAACAAGCTTCCAAAGCAACAGTTGAGGCGACTATACTCGACACATTTGCGTCTATTGCCTCCTGTCTTCCAACCCCCAGAGATTACCATTCTGAGTAGTCCTAGCAACCAGTGATGTATCCCTTTCAAAATCATGCACAGTTACATCACAAACCCCTTTGAAACATAGGAGCTAGAATTATCAATTCATTGATTGCGTGCCCTCATAATATAGAAGAAGAATAAAACCTAAAGAATTGCCACATTGTATGGGTATTAATACATATTTAGGTCAACATTAGTGGATTGACTTTTCTCATAGCATTTAAATGTCGAAAAAATACATTAGTTAATAAAACTCCATATACTTTTGTTAATTTTTAACGAATAATTGAGATTCTTTTAATGTAATCTTTTATCATAAACAGTGTATATAAAGTATACTATAAATTTATTTAAACATATTGTTATATATAAGTATATAAGATAAGTATATCGCTTACCGTATACAACTGGTAGCTGGACTATCTTGCTGTTTGGATCATCTGTGTAAAAAAAACCTCTAATGGTGGCATTACTGTATTCTCTAAGAGCTTTCACAAGTACGGTAATATGATATTCTTTCTCCGACACATTTCGACAACTGAATTCAGTGTTTCCTTTAACCTGTCCTAATTTGCATTGCTTGGCAAGATCAATGGTAAGTAACTGAAATGTGAAATTATTGTTAGAAACAAAAATTTTAACAAGTAATTTATTAAAAAAGCTATGTAAATATATAAATATCAGACCAGTTTACCCTCAAACTCTTAAAATCGTACACTATCATCGCAAAATCGTTCAATACATTATCTAAAAGGTAAACATTAAACATACAGTGTATATAATGTGTACACCTCAAAATCGTACATTGTACGCCAAAATCATGAGAGTAAACAGGTCTGAAATATGTACAGTTAAAAATTAGAAGTTTTCAAATCTTCATAAATAAAAAAATATTAATCTTCAATCGCCAACAATAATATTAAACAACATGGTTTCTTTTAGATTTATATATTTGTATCACACTGACACTTGATTTAATTCTATATTCTATAACTTATCCAGATTATCGGAAAATTGCCTCATTTCTGTACTATTGTACTAAACTTAACCTAAATAATAAATTACTAATATCGCACAGGAAGTAGACCCAAACTCACAATTTTCATAAAAATAAATGAAGGTACACTTCTTCCCGCCTGTTAATTGGTGTGCAAACAGCTCAATACCATATGATAGAAACTGGAAGGCAGTGTTTCTTTCAGACATTTTTAATTTGTGGGTGGGGGGGGGGGTGTGGGGATTTTAGATTTTCAGGGAATTGGGGTGCCGTGCCAGAGGCATAGCTATGGGTTGGCAGATGGGAGACACATCTCAGGCTAGCGGGAAAGGGGGGGTGAGTTCTTAATGTGCTTGAATTTATGCATATTGATTAAAAAATATTGGTTTTCAGAGTTGAGGGGAAGCGTAAAGATGAATCTGGTCCCCTGAAGCAAAACACTCTAGTTACATCCTTGCTACAGGCGTCAAAAGAAGGCAGTTGGTGTGGTCCACCCAGGTATCACTTTTTCTTTATATGCAGAAGAAAATTTTCAGAAAACTGCAGAGTTTGTATTGTGATAGGGAGGGTAAAAACCAAGAAAAATGTTGATTATTTGAAAATCAACAGATGTATTTTTGAGTATACTTGAAAACAACTGCATGGTGCCTCGGATGTTATGAGTTTAAAGATGGAGGTGAGGACATTTTCTTAATTATTATATTTCAATGCAGGGGGACAAGGGGGGGTGGGAGTGGAAAAGTTCATGACCTGCTTGTGTTATGCAAATATTTTGTTATACTTCCAAAAAACAGTAAGGTGGCTTTCATTTTTTTACACTACTTTTGGGGATTGCTTATTAATTAAAAAATGCATTTTCAAAACAAATAATAAAAAGTAAATAAAGAAATCAATAAAAATACCAATGTATGCGAACAAAGAGGAGGTAAGACTGGAGTGCCAGACTGTAAGCCTCTAACAAGATTAGCCTTAAATTTACAGATCAACAAAACTATATAGAGCGAAACTGCATTTTGCAGATTCTATTAATTGTAATAAGAGAATTAGTTACTATGCTTTAAAAAACTGCACTTTTGTCATCCCGCCCTCCCCTCTTCGAGAGATACCTGAAAGAAACACTGCTGATGAGGATTGTTATCTTAAAATCTTCTTAGATAGTCTAAAACTACTAAAAGATAAAATGGAGAGATATCGAGAAATTTAAAGGTCTCTACATGTAATGGAAAAGCAAAATCCGCAAGTTAAAAACGATATCGTTGCATGATACATATTGTTGTGAACTAGATTGTTGTGAATGTTGGGTAGGGGGAGTTGTTGCTCGTGAGACTGTTTTGTGAGTTGTAAGTTGTGAAGTCAGAGCGTGAAGTTGGTTCGTGTTATTGAGTTGTGCATGCTGATTTGTTTAGGTGATGATATAAAAGGGCTGTGTGTTAGTGAGTCAAGTAGTCAAGTGTTAGTTGGTTGTTAGCTGTGCTAGGAGAGAGAGACATGTTAGTCAAGAAGTAGTTGATAGTTGAAGTTGATAGTTGGTAGTTGTTCCGGTGTGTCAGAGTTCCGCCGGGAGTTCGTCGAGAGTAGTTAGAGAGTAGAGAAGAGAGTTGAGAGTTATTACCTCCATTGAATGTTGTCGTTGAGAATTAACATCTGCTGTGGTTGGATCATGCATTTAAAGAACTATTATGGTTATCTTCAAAGGACGCTATTGTTTTGCTCTTTATTGTGGTCCTGATGTGAGAGGTTACATTCGTTAACATTAGAGAAGACTCAACGAAAGAAGTCCATAACATTTGTGATACTACACAACGAAAGAAGGCCGCAACTTAATGAAGTAAGGTCGTAACACATATTAAAAACAAAACTCGCTTTAAAATAAATTTAAAAATTTCAAAAGGCGAATTCAAACTAAAATGTGTATGACTACATTAAGGGTCGTGATAAATGGGCTTGAAACTATCATTACTTGTTCAAATCTTGGCTGAAACTCCTCCTTTATCTCATATTTTACACAAAAATAGTCGCCAACACTGTTATCCAATTGAATCACACTTCTGAAACCAAACTGGTCAACATTAAGTAACAAGCCACTTTGGCATGTGGTTTTTGAATCGTCTTGGCTGTAGTCAAACAGCTGTATTTTGTGAGTGGAGACAACATCTGTGGTAAATATTAAAATATAAATATCCCACAAAAATACATATTTCCCAAAAAAATTTAAATATATTTATTTATTTAGGCATTTTTATATAGCGCTTACCATAAAGCTCTAAGCGCTTAAATATATATATTTTTACAAACATGATTGAATTATTAATATATCCATCCATCCAGCCCTGAAAATCAGATTTAATCATTTAGATTTAGATCTCTTCGTTTGCAATACATATAATAGGTGGCAGGTACAAGTTTAACACTTTTTGTCAAGAGGGATTGGTGTCAACAATTCATTTCTTCTTTGATGTATCAAAATTAAAAAATCAATAATAGACCAAGATTGTTGTTAAAATTCTTATCAATTTTAATTGCTTTAAGAGTAATAAAATTATAAATGGTCATAAAAGCATTTATGTAAGAATATTGGTTCTAAGAAATATGCCAAACAAAATTGTAAAAAAAAAAGGCTTTCCCGTATAAGTTCCTAAGCTCTTTAGAATGTTCTTGTAAAAAAATGAGATAGCCTATTGTACTAAAACATGGGAAATATTATCTTTGTCCTTTCTTTTTCAGCATAATCATCGGGTGCACTGCAATTCATGTAAGTGTAAGGCCCTTGCCTGCTCCCCTAGCTAGATTTATCGGATAAAAATTTACTTATATAAAAATGTCTGGTTGTCTTCAGTCCTCATTACAGCTCGCCCTCATGGAATGGACAGGTGTGAATCATAGGTACAGGCATTACTAGAAGCAAAACTCTTCACAACTCCTCCAAAAAGTGGTGGTGACATGGCTGTAAATTTAAAGGAAAGAAAATGCTGAGATTTTAAAACCAATCTTAAATATAAAGTTATTCAATGACCAGAATTAAAGACTGGACAAAGCCTGAAAAGTCAAATAGAATAGCTTTTAACTAAAGCAGTAAGGCTTAAAGGCAAGTCAGGGTATGCAAAAGAAAAATTAAAAAAGGGAGACAGGTTATTTAGAAGCAGACCTGTTTACCCTCAAACTCTTAAAATCGTACAATATCAACACAAAATCATTCAATACATTATCTTAATAGTGAAAATAAACATACAGATGTATAATGATAACACCTAAAAATCGTACACTGTATGCCAAAATCGTAAGAGTAAACAGGTCTGTAGAGGGCAAATATAAATAAAATTTTGTAACTTAGTAAAAATTATCAGTGATCTTCGGTAGCTGCAGTGCCTACAATTTATTGATTATATGAAATGAGTTTCAAATAAATTATATATCATTAAGGACATAATTATCCATTACCAAAAGTATAATTTACTGTAACATAATTTGATAATTATTACAATTAAAATATAGATTCAAATGACTAGCGTTAATTTAGTTTTGACATGGTTATCATGAATATAAATTTTATTTTTAAAATTTTAATAATGAAATTTCATACCATATGCACACATTGTTTTCAGTCATGAAATTTAAAAAAATAAGTAATATGAATGAACTAGGTGGAATTTAAAAACAATTGATAAATAAAGATATTAAATACTTCTTATGTGATAATGATAAGAATAACAGGAAATGGCTATCACTTTCGGTTCACTTTGCATAATCGATAGCTGGTTATGAATTATGCTCAAAATGTACCCTGTCTAGATAATTTAAGCCCTGTCTAAATTTCAAGATCTTGATTGTTTCAATTAGTTAAGTGGTTCTTACACTGGAAAGAAAAAGAATAAATTGGAAAAAAAATTATGGTCTCCGAAATGCAGTGCTAGCAACCTACCTGTTTTCCCAACAAAAACTATCTGCTGCAAGCGCTATAAGTCCGGTGAAAAAGTTTATGTTGTATTAATCATCCTCCTCGTGTGCACAGCTAAGACTATAATAAGTTCATTGTCTCTCCATTATGCATACAAGAAAAACTAGATCTCAATATGACCCAGTGACCTACAGAGATTGAACGGCCATTGGATTTTTACCTGTTTCCGCATTCGAAAAATCGACCGGCGCACACCGTATAAATAAGTACCTGTTAACATGCACTCAAATATTTAAGTGCTACCCAAAAGACCGTTTCTACATCATTATTTTATCGTTATTATCAAATGTTATATCCAATTAAACACTTTCTGAACTTTGATATTCTCACATATTTTTTTTTGACATGCATGCCAAATTAGTGAGTACATGTTTATGTTTAACATCACATTAAAATAACCAAATAACCTGGTACACCTGAAAGCAGACACTTATATTCATGTTAGGGGTTGTATGGGAAGGAAGGACGTCGATGAAAATCAATTGGGTCAACTCTAATTCTACAGTTCGGTAACGGGACTGTTCCATGCACAAAGAGCCCCAGGACTCCTTAAGCTCTCTCTTCGTCAATATGGACGCATTGCAATCTTTATAAATTAACCCAAACCCTTGATGGAGAGAAATCATAAATTCCCAGGTGCATGTTTTTTTAAAAATTTAAAAACATGATCGACATGACATTAAAATCACGATTTTCTATTGAACATATCTAAAGGTAAGTTTTTCTAAAAAAGATGACTTTGTTCCGTAATGATCAATGTTTTATTTTTTAAATTTTTATTCTAGTCAGCCTCACTTAAGTATTTTTCTATGGCTAGAGTAATACTTTCACAACAAACAAACAAAATAGTAATGTTGCTGAAACTTTTAACGCTATTAAATATTATCCTTAAATATATCAGAGTACAAAAGTAAACAGCGATGAGTCCTGCATGAACGAATGCATCTGCAGCAAAAGGAACCCTGAAGCTCTTCTTATGGGTGCATACAGATGACTGATATCCCTTGTAGCGGCATGAAGGTCACAGTCTTAAGGTTTATTCTCTATTGCTGTCAATGTCATTGTGGCACCGGTACACTACTTTTAGGATTACCACCCACATTGCATCCACACTTAGAGTACTGCAACTCAAATCTATAAAACGGATTTGCAAGTACACAAACAACTTTGGTGACCAGGCAGAATTCACCTTTGAGAAAGAATTAAATTGGCGCAGGGTAAAGGATGAGTTAAGGAAGGGTATAACAAAGTTATACACACCAGTAAAACAACATTTTGTATCCTCTTCCCTATGGGCCACTACGCGAAGTACGGGGTCAAAAGCCTTTATCAATTCCCTGATTTTTAAAACTTTAAACAACGTCCTGTATCTAATGGATTTAGTTGAAACTAGGCATTTTTTTTTTCCACTTGAGGATGACAAATATTTGATTTTTAGAGGAATCTGTTGTTTAATTATCATTATCTTCATAAATTGCGTGTCCTTTTTTTTAAAAATTCACTTGATGTTTTGACAACTATTCACTCTCTTGAGTCTTTAGGAGAAATATTCAATAATAGTTTGAGGAGAATTCTATTTCTGATGATTTTCCAATTAATATTTATGACAGGGTTTTTTTTAGCACAGGGTAAGTTATGACACTAGAACAGCATGATAGTTAAAAATGAAAGTTAACAAATGATGATTGGCTGATGTCTACAATTATGAATCAAGACTGTTCCCAGTTAAACACTATCTACGAAACAAGTCGTGTGCCTTGTTAAACGCAAAATTATCTCGATACCATTTGTGGTCAACGTCTTGATGGCCCTTGGATTTGTAGTTCTCCTAGTAAGGCTATACATTTTAATGAATGTTTCTTTTAAGTTGATCGCTACTTACATGCATTAATTCTACAGGTCATGGTGTTGTATTTTCCATCCAATCTACAGGCTGCATATTTTATTGTCACGGTTACTTCTTCTCCATTTTGAACTTTCCCGTTGTAAAGAGCACCATTTTCAATAGGTGTACCGACAATGGAATCATCTACGTATATTTCTCCCACACACGGCTCAGCAGAGCTAGAACAGTTGAATTTAAGATTTAATTCCTCCTTGTCAATGGTTTCATTACAAAACATATCTGATGACTTGCTTTGTCCATTTATGCTTAAAGTTCCAAATGCAGCTGTTGGTTCTGTTGAAAGAAAATAAGCTAAGTAAAGAGATAAATTACTGATATGTGCAAGTGTTAATTACATCTAAAATTGTAAATGTCCAACATTTATGTCTCTATAAAAATCTCTAAAGAATAGAGCAAAACAATAAGCGGAAATCAAATTTTATTTTGATTTCATTTTTCGATGTTTGGTTACTATTATATGATATAAGAGTTTAATCAGTTTTGTTAATATACTTGTTATATTTTTAAACAATGTAATAGAAAGAAATTATTTTTTTTAAATTAGTAACAGAACTTCTAGTCAGCAACAAGATTGCTAACTCATAAAAATAAATTTGTAGTAGCATATAATTGAAGATATATTTCATCTTATGTTCCAAAGATAAAAAATTACATTTTATATGTCTATATTTGCCATAAAAAACACTGTTAATTTGAAGTTCTGAGCTTAAAATAATTACTGAGTATTTTCACCGTTTTGAGAAAATAAATCTTATAGACTAATGGAAAAATAAATATATGTTAACATAATATTATTAGGTAGTGAGCATTAATGTATTTGGCAAAAGAAACGAAAAGACAAAAAAAAGAGCTGTTGATATTTTGGTTCTCAAACCCTAAAACAAGAAATAGCACTGTATATAATCCGGTGTTTTGTAAGCAATAGGGAAAAATTAAATTAATATTATTAAGAAATGCTTATTAAAATAAGGCACTTTAATAATAGCCACACGGGTAAAAAAAAACAACTATACCGGTTATGCAGTTCATTCATGTAATAGCCAGCTCACTTAATGGGTTACAAGACATTAAACTATTACTGTATGAATTCTGTGAGTTCACACTTAGAGCTTGTTTCCCCAATATATACAATATAAAGCCATGATAGATGTTTTAAAAAATGTTGATTAAGGGTGCTATTGATGTGATTTAAGTATGTGCTCTAATGACAGTTGTGGAAAGGATCCCTATGCAATGATGGTTGTAAAGAGTTTTCTAACATCCTTGGGCAGCTTCAAGACGCTACCAATTCCACATCAAGACCAAGTTGTTTTTTTTAGATTCCCAAAATATAGTTCCATTAATGCTTAAAAGGAGATATTCTTTATACTTTCCATATACATAGACAAAAAACACACTCTGAAAAACATGTTTCTTTAAGACAGTTAAATAATTTGATTTTGTCTATTGTTATTAAGTGTTAACATTTCACAAGCCAAAACGTAAACTGTTAAAAAATGCGTCCTCTAATTTCTTTTGATACTAAAAGGTAATGCAAATGTAAATAGTATGTGGGTTGAAGTACAATATTTTTCATGTAAAACATAAAAAAATATTTAAAACAATGCCCTAACATTATGTTGCTTACAAAATCAAACTTGAAAAATAATTCATAATTATGTTTGTTTTGTTGTTAAGTTATTCTGCTGAATTTTTTGAGTATTTTTTTAAAGTTGTATTTTTTTCCAAATTATACCAAATTCATATTGCATTAAAATTAAACACTAAAAAAAAACTATTCTAAAACACCATGAAACGTTTATCATGGTTCTCTTTTTCATAAGTATCATGTCTGAACAATTTCGTTAAACTTCCAAACCTAGGCATAGTTTGATTTTAAAACGTAGTGAATTATTTTAACATACCGGTATATCAAAATGACAAATGGAATTCCCCTGATCAGGCGGCATAATTTTACAACCTTAACAAACAGTTGGCGAAGGCAAAATTATACCTTCATACAGTTTGTATAATCTGGTGGCATGGAGTTTGGGACAGAATTACAGCAACTGCAAAAATGGAGGATCTAAACAAAATAGAATCATATGTGACAAAGTGGAAAATGGTTGTTATGCAGATAAAATGGTCTACTTCATATTTGCAAGTGGAAATAACGCTTTTAAACAGGAAGTACAATTAACTCTTTGCAGTAAAAGCTAAAATGGGATAGGATACCAATGTAATTAGGCGTAAAACTGGACCAAAAAGTCTAACTTAACAGATCCTAGAGCAAAAAAACTGGTATGTACTACCTGGGAAGCCGATGCAATAGGTCATGACTAAGTGTGGCCTATCCCGGCACATGGCCCACATCATGAAAGCTTTAATCTTTCTGCAAAAAGTCTGTTACTTGCAACTGGCCCATTAACAAAGGCCAGCTCACCCCCCTCCCCCCAACTCATAATGAGGAAGCTCTGAAGACAATAGAAGTTAATACAGACAAAATGGTATAAGTCTTAACTGACCGCTCATGTTTTGCAAATGAGAACAGAAGTCTATACAGCGCACTAATAGAGTACCAAGAAGGGGGAGGGGTAGGTTGCATCCACCGGAAGAGATTTCAGGACCCAGTGGCAAAAAAAAACCAGAAATCATATTGAAGCAGAACTGAGTTTACTCTTGAAATCGTGGAAAGGAACTGACGGAGACTAGTAAGACCAATATGATTCTGGAGATGAGATCAGTGCATGTGGCATTGTGGTCTTCCTACAGTGGATCCCTTGTCACGTTGAGGTGAATAAGAGGGCACATAGTATATGACCGCCCCGCCACAACACGACAGGCCCATGACTTAACTGGGAGTCAAGGCTTTGCGCAAAGGCCACTTTTGTGAAGAGTGGCTCAATGGCTGGGTGACAGGTGAAATGCAGAAAAGATCTACCGAAACATGCCAAGACCAAGTAAGAGCGATGTCTTTTTGAAACTAGCAGGTAGAGAAAAAAAAACAACAAAAAAAACCAACCAATTACACAGATGTGATCGGATGCTGCTCAATGCTTAGCCACCTACATCGACTAAACCCATAAGGATCTGAACTGCCGTCCGTGTAACATGGCCACTGAAGCAGGAGAACACCTGCTCGTTGTGTGCCTCCAAGCCCCAGGGTTTTTAATGGGTCAAACACGGAGACCTATTTTATTAGTCTAATTAATTGTGATGCCTGCTTAAAAAAGCTGGCCTGTGATACCCTAGAAAAAGTCAAAGTAGTCTAGACAATGTATCATATATTTTGTATAAAATATATCAGTGATGGTATATTTTCTGTACTGTATTTAGTATTTACATGTTATTAAGTTTTGTAAAGTATACTCCTATTTCGGGAATTGTTTTTAAGATTTTTCTTAAAATGTGTCCGACACAATATGAACCAGAACTGTAAAGATGCCCTGATATGTCAGGTATAAACAACTTTTTTTTTAAAGCAACGCAATTTTCACTCTATTTTTAATATTTTTTTATCAGTCGTTTATTGTTAATTTCTGGGTTTTTTTTGTTTTTTTTTTAAATGGAAAAAAAAGATAATCAGTGTATAATAACTTATTTTCTTACCATAGCTGTGTGGAAGTTGAATTGATTTGCCATCAGGATCATATGAGTCACTAGAACCCTTGACTCTTGCACCGCTATATTTGGAGAGGGCTTTTGTTAGTACTGTAATGTGAAATTCCGTGTCATTTATTTTTTTACAGTTCAACACACTGTCAGCGCTTTTATGTCCAGTAAAACATTCAGATCTAAGGCTTAGGGACAGATACTGAAAGGGGAAAAAAGATAATCTTTAAAAAAAAAACATGCACAAATTAGAAAAACACAACAAACTAAAAAACAGTTAACGTTAAAAATAAATGATTAATAATATGATGTTAAGTGTTACATCTTTACTATATAAATTACAATTTGAATTGCAACATTATAGCTGATTTGTTATTTAAAATGAATTTCCTTAAAAAATGTTAACAACTTAAAATGCTTGCTTTTTGTTTTAACTCATATGCTACACTTGCACAAGGTAACACCTGCTTTTTATATTAATGTGATGTGCCATCGTAACTAAAATTGTCTCAAACCCCTTCAAAACGAATAGCTACCACAATATAGCTAATTTATGTGGATACATTGATTTTTCATTGTGACTAAATATTTTAATCTATATCATTTCCTAATGCATCATATTTAGTTTTCTGTTTATAAGTTTCGTAGGTATTACTTGCTTTACATTATTTCTATGTTCTTTCTTAATAGTAAATGTTTCTTCATTTTTAAAGTAATAATTACCATCTTATATTTTGGAGCAGACTCCTCTTTAATAAAAAAAGTAACGTAAGGTATTGTTTCATCATCCTGTTCAGGTGAAGCCACAATTTTGAAACCACTTTGATCAATGTCTAGCAGCAAGCCACTTGTGCATTTGGTATTTGAATCTTTTTGACTGTAATCAAGCAGTTTTACGTTTTGGGCGAAGACAAGACCTGTTAAATATAGCAAATATGTTATATTTAAACTTAAATAAATATATATATATTGTTACAAAACATCAATTTATTGAAATATTTATAATTCATGGATTATATTTTTTTAAAAATCATTATAATAAAATAAGTGTTACACATTAATTGAAAAATTAATATAGGTAATAACTTTTGATCTACTGTAATCCGTTTTCGAACATTTTAATTATTTCTGCTTTAAAAAAAAAAAAAAAAAGTCAAGAGGCATTAAGAATAAAAAATTAATAGTTGAGAACTAATACAGCAAATTATAAAATAAATGTTAAACATTAAATAAAAAATTAAAATAAGTAATAACTTTTGATCTACTTTAATCCGTTTTCGAAAATTTTAATTATTTCTGATTTAAAAAAAAAAAAAAAAAGTCAAGAGGCATTAAGAATAAAAAATTAATAGTTGAGAACTAATACAGCAAATTTTAACAAAGGACTGTAATCCACACATCAGTATTGAGAAAAGATGATAACAAAATAGTCCTAAGTGACTTGTTTTAAAAGTTTTTATGCGTAAATGTTATAAATCTTATTATAAATGTCGCAAAAGTACTCACATATTAAAGTCCAGAGTACATAAAGTATCTTCAAATTCAAATGAATGTGAACATATGTCATAGTGATGATTTCTTTGAATATTCAAAGAAAATAGAATTGGTTTATTTACATGACTTCTGTCATCACATTTCACTGAAGATAAAGAGTGACACCATAAAATGAAAATATTTTATTTTCCAATAGGAGTTCGAATTTAAAATAAAAAAATTAAAAAAAACTAGCATTGTGAAAAATCTCAAATAAATCATGCACGTTATAATTATAAGCCGAGAACGTGTGGATTTCTTTTAAAAAACTACTTATTTGGTCTTTATTTATTGTACATATTTGATTTGCATTGGTCAATTTCGTCACACATCTCAAGAAAACCATAAAACAAATATAGTGCACATCGCATGTAATCATATCTACTTGATGCACTAGATCAAAATTGCCTCCATATAAAAATGTCCCACCCACAGAACTCACTTTAGTCTTTTTTTGTTAGTAGACCTACATTCACTAAGCCTTCCTAAGAAACAGTGGCTTTTATTGCAGTAAAACACTAATTCCTCTCAATTAGCGTAATCTCTGCTTCTTCAAAAAACTTCATTTGACTTATAATTGATTTAACAAATATAAAAAATAAATCAGAAATGGCATGTTAGGTAAAAAAAGAAAAAGAAATAACAAATTAAGTAATATCTTGCAACGGTTCCAGATGCAGTAGAAATATTTCTTCGGGATTAAGGTAACCCAAATAAATATGTGATGGCTGATGCATATAAAGGGCGGGGTTAACTTTTTGAGGCCAGATGCAAAGCAGACCACATCACTAAAGTAGATATTCTAACCTAGCGGTTCAAAACGTGTGGTTCGCTACCCCTTCGAGGTCAACCGACCTTTACACCTAACATCTTTGGAAAAAACATATTTATAAAATAGCAACGAAAATAATTTTATGATTGTGGTTCCCCACAACATGAGGACCTGTATTATAGGGTTGCGGCATTAGCAATGTTGAGAACCAATGCACGCTAACCACTGTGAATCCTTAAAAAATTAAATAGGTCCCACATTTCTTTAAAAGAAACAATTTAAGAGAGTGAATGAATGAAGTGATAATAAAGTTAAAAATGACTTCTTTGCCATTTTAACAACTTTAATATTTTCTTTGAAGTTTTAAGTCCTTCTGTCACTTTAATTGTAGAGAATTAATGAAAAACGTTTTGAAAGTCAATATCTCTCAAAATTTCCGACAGGATGCTCAAAATGCTTAAATTTGTAAATTCGTCCACGCCAGTTGTTCACCACAAGAATAGTTTTAATTTTAGAATTAGTCAGAGACTGAACAATCTTAAGCCATCACAAATTTTAATGTCAAGAATGTGAAGTACACTTTTTGGAGGAAAAAAAAATCATGCAGATTATATGAGGTACCGTACATTGTTATAGTTAGCACCTTTTGTTGAGTAACTCTTTTAACTGTTTCATTCCTGTTTGCAGGAAGTTGGGCAGTGGCGCAGATTTCTTCGGATGAAACCTAGGGTGGAGTTGGCTTTTTTTTAAATTTTGTTTATATGGGGTGACCATTTTAGGTTATTTAAGAAGAGAATTCCAAGGTATGGATTATTGGATACTTGTTGGAAGATTGTCTCATTTAGTGAGTACATATAGGTGGATGGTTTTTTCTTGAGATGGTCATTGTGTAGCATTTGGTTTCATTAAATTTAATGCCCCATTTATCCGCCCAATTCATAAGACACTTCACTGTTTGGAGGTGGTTGTGGTCATCGTAGCCGTTTATCTCTCTGTAGACAAGACAGTCATCAGCAAACAGCCTCACTTGAGATTTTACTGTCGTTTATGTGACAGAGGAAGAGAAGGGTGCCCAGTACTGAGCCTTGTGGATCTCCTGAGTCTACTGTGGCTTTCCCTGATTGGACGCCGTCCACTACTACTTGCATGGTACGTTGCATAAGGAATGTTGAGAGCCAGGAGTGAAAGTTGCCGTTAATGCAGTAGTGGTGGAGCTTATGTAGAAGAAGGCTGTGTGGAACAGTGTCGAAGGCCTTGAAATAATTTGAGACCGCCGTTATGGCATGGGGAGTGCCCGAAAAAATTGTCTTCGATTGGTTATCGCATCATACAATTGCTTGAACGTGAAAAATAAAATTCTCTGTTGTGTCCATAAGTCAGCACACAAAATAGTGCCTTCATACAAGAATTGCATCAAATGATTGATGGAAAATTTGATCGTGTGAACTGACACTTAGTAAGACTGTGTTTATGCCATATTTGAATTTAATTATGAAACTAAGTCTAAGATAAACTAAAGCTGTTTAGTACAGAGCACAGTAATCAACAAACTCTGCGAAGTCTCACTGGGCCTAATAAGTCTACACTACAACTTGACGTACCTATTTCTTCTAATAAAATGTAGATGGTTTTGTGCGGCATGCCAAATATTTAAAATCGTCAATTGACATATTATTTGGGTCTTCCACTTCTAGTTTCCATGTAAATAACAACTGTGTAGGCTTCTCTATTCGTTTCAATGTACTGAATTATGTTTTTGTTCACCAAAAATGTATTTTAAAAGCAGGGAAAACCCAGAATGATTTGGTCGTGTTGAGTTTTCCATTTTATTTTTTTTTGTGGGGGGAGGGAGAGTGTTAAGGTTGATTGGAATTAAATGGTTCCCAGACAACTGAACGCACGACAGTTTAACCTATGACAACTGACCCCATGACAAGTGACCACATGAGAATTGACCAAACTGACAACTGAACTCATATACAACTGAACGAACGCACGACAAAAGTGATTCGTGAATCACAAAGATGATAAAATTGAATTGAATAGAATATGTACGCGTATGAGCATGAAACAAAACAAAAAAGCCAAAACGGAAGGAAAGGGTACCATGTAAAATTTTCAACCGATTAAATATATTTTATTTTTATAATTAGTTTCATGTCATTGGTTAAAACTTAAATCAACTTTAAAAAATAATTCTGCCCTGCAAAGCGTTGCCGTTGCGCTGAAAAAAATATATTAAAAAGAGAGTAATTTAGTTGGCAAATAATTTTAATTTTGCAATTATTAAAGCAAGTTATTTATTCTTCTCAAGACTCAAGAAATGTAAACTTACGGACACTATAATCTTACTAATAATGAAATGTATTCCTATGCCTATATTTATATGGATATGAGCCTACTGTTAAATGATGCTATCAACAGTCGATCGTAAAGAAGTAGTAATAATAATAATAATAAAGTTCAAAAAACACCCTTCATCCCTAATTAAGACTCGAAGTGCGGTACAAAGTCAATATGTATCTTGTATGTGTATGACAATTTATATTTTCTAAAAATATAATACAAAATGCAACAATACAAAATCTACATCCAGGAGTATGAGTGAATGAGCAAGCTGGAAACAAGGAGGTAGACTACAAGTGACCCAAGCAGGTGAGTGCGAAAAATTAGGCAATCCTCCAAAGTCTGGTCCCAAATTATTTCGTATGAAAAAAAATTGCAATAAACAGTGTGTATTGTTAGAAAACACCGGAAATGTCAGTCATAGCTTTTGCAAATAACTGTCACTTTCCAAACCAGTGAGTAAATACAAAATGTTGTAATTGGCACATAGCATTTGCAAATAGCAGCCAAATCGTTCTGCTGGTGACTTTTGCGCCACTGAAAGGCCCTAAAGTAGACGGCAAACAGATCGCGACTAGCAGGCCTACCACTCTGATAGCAGAGTTTACGTTTCCCTTGCATCCAAAGTCCTTCAATAGTTTCTGTGTGAATGTCCAGGTCTACTGGATCAACAAAGTCACGCTCGTGCACAATGACAGCGTGAGCATAAATCCCGGTGTGGAGCAGGCGACATTTTGATATCCTCGCCAAGCGTCCGTGGCGATAGTTGTCCCTGGTAACACATGATTAGTGATAATGCACTGAGTGTTTGTGCATCTCGACGGCCAAAAACCTCCATCCAACATCATCTACTACCGCAAAAATGAAATTCAAAACAAAATGATGCCTAAGACTTTTAAGCAAGGAGTAATCATTGGAAATAATTTGGGACTGGACTTCGGAGGATTGCCCGGTATCATTACCGTATAAAAAACATAAAATGGTATTTTTTAAAAACGATTTTTACTTATCTCAAGTCTCAAAGCACAATATCCAGTATTTTACCATCTTACTATTCGGTATATTTCAGTTAATTTTATGATTGTTGTTCATTTTTATTGAGTTTTTATTAATAATTAATTTATGATGGATAAATAGTAGGCCTAT